TGCAGTTATTTTGTATGACACTGTGCATTTATTCAAACTTTGATGAATATATAAAAGTATTAGTACTGGTACTTAATTACTTCCCTCAAAAAAGTACTGGTACTGCAGTACCAAGCTAAAATCTAGTACTGGTAATGGTACTGCAAAACTTGGCAAGTACTGATACTGAAGTACTACACCCTTAGTACTGATGCAGCTCTGCTCATGGTGCCTTGGCAAAACATTCAGCAACATTCTGGCTTTGAGGTGCCTCACAGTCTTTCAAGCATGGACTGAGCTGAAGATACATACAGCCTGATTTGGTCTTGGTGATGGTATGTTTTGCTAATTCTTAAATAAAACGGTAAGAAATTCCTACTTTATTCCTACTTTTTAACATCAGAAATCCCTACTTTGCCCTACTTTTTGGTAAAAAAATGCCCTACTTTTTCCCTAGTTTTTTTGGTAGAGGCAGTAGAAAGCCTGTTTGTATTAATTAAATTATGATTATAAAATGTTAAACTATGATAATTATTCAGGTTGTAAACACTATAATTTGCTTATTAAACCCCGGTATATTTTGAACAGCAAGGACGGGATTTAACCTAATCCGTAACCTCATAATTGCAACAACAACACTAAAATTAGAATGGAAAATGCTTTAAACTTTATAGTTACTAGTCATTAGTTGTCTTTTATAGTTATATGATAAAAGAAATAAACAAATTGTTCAGTTTTCATAGTTTATTTATCTATAATCCTGATCGATGACACCACTAGTTTTTTGTCTTTTTTGGAACACATATGAGCCGCGTCACGACAAAACCAACATAGTGCGTTTGCGACCAGCATGGATCCAGACCAGCCTGCGCATCCGTGCAATCTAATTAGGATCCATGCTGTTCGCTATCAGTTTCTCTACTTGTAATATGGTTGGTAAGCGAACAGCATGGATCCTGATCAGACTGCGCGGATGCGCAGGCTGGTCTGGATCCATGCTGGTCGCAAACCCATTATGTTGGTTTTGTCATGGCACGGCTCATATCATATTTACCCAGTATTTTTGACTTTGAATTGCAATCCAAGACCATAATTACTTATTTATATAAAATTTAACATAATCTTTTTGTTTGATTTGTTTAGATATTGATAGAGTATCAGGATGGCACATCAACTTCAGTTAGAGAAGGAAAAATACAGACAGTGGGTAAAGGCTGGTTTAGGACTTGGATATTTAAAGGAGGGACTGGTACCATTCTGTAATGACATAGCTGACCAACAACATAAGGATATCTTACAAAACATTCGGTTTACAAAGTCACTATCATCAACTGTGACTTGTGGGGGCTGTCGAGTTGAAACTCTCAAGCCAGACCATAAGCCAGTACCTGGGAATGCTGGAAACAAAGTTTGTCCTCTTGGGCAAGTAAAATGCAACTGTTGCTGTAAGGGCAAAATTGCTTGTCCGAACAACATATGTGGCGCCATCTATGACTATATTGTGCAGCATCATGCATCTACACCACCTGCGCCAGTCTGGAAAAATAGCGAAGCTCTAAATTGGTCAACAGACCCGTGGAGCATTAGCAAATGTTTTATAAATGCTCCTGGGTACAAGGACAAGACATCAGCAGTCCATACAGATTGTACAGGGTTACTGCATGTTGTCACAAATAACATATATTTTCATAATCATATTGGAGGCATTGCTACTGGACCAAACAATCTTTTTTCAAAGGTAAATACATTTGTATACTAAATATACCCTCAATTCCATCAAATTTAGGGTATTTTATGTATGTGATTACTCAAACACATATGTTTCTTGATTACTCAACTTGATTACTATCTATATTCAGCATCAAAAGCATCAAAAGCATAAAAATTGTATATTAAGCTATCAGTGTAATTATGTAATTAAGTGATGCACATCTAGAATAGTGTTACCCTGTTCCGTCATTCCGTCATTCTGTCATTCCGTCATCATCAGTTTCCGTTCATTATCTTAAGAACGGTTGCACACATTCAACTCAAATTTGACATATGGATATGTCATAAGAAAATACAGGTCAAGTTCGAACTTGGTTATGGTTCGATGATTTTTAGCAGAGTAATGCCCCTTTTACTTTGAAAATAATATGAAATTTCAGTTTCCGTTCATTACCTCCCCAACGGTACAACACATTCAACTCAAACTTGACATATGGATATGTCATGAGAAAATACAGGTTAAGTTCAAATTTGGTCATGGTTTGATGATTTTTGGCAGAGTAATGCCCCTTTCACTTTGAAAATAATATGAAATTTACAGTTTCTGTTTATTATCTACCCAACATTGTTACATATTCAACTTAAATTTGACATATGGATATGTCAAAGGAATGGGCAGGTCAAGTTGGAATTCGGTCATGGTTTGATGATTTTTTGGCAGAGTTATGTCCCTTTCACTTTGAAAATAATATAGAGCATCTTAGAAATAAGCAGTTTAAGTTTGAATTTGGTCGTGGTTCAATGATTTTAGACAAACTTATCTTTCCTGAATGTTGGAAAATTTTGAACTTTCGGTTTCAGCACTCATATTTTTAGCCATTATTTTGGCTACAAATATGCAATACGCTATTTTTTAAAAGGTTAAGACTGAATAATTTCAGTGCCTTGAACATTGTATGAAAATGGTTTGTGTTAACATTGAAAAGTTTTAAGGGCTTTAAACTTAAAATGAAAAAAATAATTAATGCACCATCTGAAATTTTGGCTGCATGCGGGGGCATCCGTGGCATGATTAAAAATCATTATGGATAACATTTTAATTGAAGGTAGTTTGTTAATATTGACTTTTATGAGGTACATTATTATCTAAATGATTTGTGTTTTTGTTTTACAATCAAATGCATATAGAATCCGGTAAAAATATACATACATGTACAGTACAGATAACGCGAATATGGAAAATCCTCGAAGGATGAGAAATCCACTCGCAACTCCGCGAGAGTATTTGTCCATAAAAACCAGTGACTCCGCGTGAGAAACGTGTGATGAGAGTGAATCTGAGACAAAAATAACAGCGCGTAACTCCATGTCAGTGTCTAGCTGGGGTAAATAAATGCAAGTACAACCTCATTTTACATTTCATTTTAGATTACGATTCGAAAATAAAGATGAATTTTACCGTTGTTGTTTTCAATTTACCCTGAAACAGTTGAAAGGTACATTTGAATAGAAAAAACACTACCGTAAACGTCATCAAGTTTATTTTTATCCCGATTAATTCAGTCAGTAGCAATAACTACTTTCGTTTTCACTTGTGATACTTTACATCAACGAAGAATTTTCAACAACATTTTTATTTTGAATGAATAATAACATGTATATGCCTTCAAGGATTTTAGTTTAAAGGTAAAGCATTATATTAATAAATGAATAAATATAGCATACCATTACTCAGAGTCACTCTTTTTGGCTAGGAGACTCACGGAGTCCCACGGACTTAATTGTCACTCGTTATCGACACGGAGTCACTCTTTTGTGTACGAGAAATTTATAATCCACTAGGAGTCACGCTTTTTGTAATTACTCGTTACTCGCAGGAATTTTCATATTCCTCGTTATCTGTACTGTATCTTTTATCAAAATACCATTTCAGTATCCATTTACATGTATTATGTAAATGTATATAATTTCAACTAAACTTTTTTAAGCTCACCTGTCACAAAGTGACATGGTGAGCTTTTGTGATCGCTTTTTCGTTCGGCGTCGGTCCACCTATAAACTTTTACTTTAAACAACATCTCCTCATAAATCGCTAAGCCAATTTTATCCAAACTTCATAGAAATGTTCCTTTGGTAGTCAACTTTAAATATTGTTCAAAGAATTTAATTGATATGGCAACCGAAAGAAAAAACTTTAAAAATCTTCCTTAAAAAAACCAAAAGAGCTAGAGCTTAAATATTTGGCATGAAACATAGTCAGTGTCTACCAAGTGTGTTCAAAGAAAAGCCCTGGGGTCAAAATTGACCCCACGGGTGGATGTCATTGATCTTCCTTATTTGTATAAAGGAAAAAGTTTAAAAAATCTTTTTAAAAAAAAAACCCAAAGAGCTAGAGCTTAGATATTTCGCAAAGGTTCACATAAAGACCCGGGGTTAAAATTGGCCATGTCTCGGGGTCATTTATTTTCCTTGTATATGTATAGTAAATACTTAAAAAATCTTCATTTAAAAGACCCAAAGATCTAGAGTTTAGATACTAAGCATGAAATATCTTCTAATGAGCGTCTACAAAGTTTGTTCAAATAAAAGTACTGGGGTTAAAATTGGCCCGGGGTCGGGGGTGGGGGTGGCATTGCTTTTCCCCGTTAATATGTATAGTAAAAACTTGTAAAAATGTTCTTTTGAAAAACCAAAAGAGCTAGAGCTTCAATATTTATCATGAAACATCTTCTAATTGGTGGTCAAGGTCACGGCATGACCTTGCAGCAAAACCATGTCCGGCCCATTACTTTGTTATTTGAAGTCAGATTTTACAACTATTTCACAGAAATGATCACCATATTGAGACAAAATGTCGCCCGCAACATTTTGGTAGCTACCTTGAAGGTCAAGGTCACAACATGACCTTGAAGAAAAATCGTTTCCAGCCCATAACTTTGTTATTTGAAGTTGAATTTTACAACTATTTCACAGAAATGATCACCATATTAAGACGAGGTGTCTCGTGCAACTTTTTGGCCCCTACCTTTAAGGTCAAGCATGACCTTGCAGCAAAATTGTGTCCGGCCCATAACTTTGTTATTTGAAGTCGGATTTTACAACTATTTCACAGAATTGATCAACATATTGAGACAACATGTCACGGGCAAGTCGGTTGATATATCTCATTGAGTAAAGTGCAGTGCAAAGAACAGTAACTCTGCTTTGCCTAAGTTTGGAATTATCACACTTTGAAGTTTGTCTGGGACATTACTGTGAAACTACAAAAGATAAAATTTTCTGTGTCCAAAACCTAGTAGGGGAGCATCACCTGGTTCAACCAGCTCTTGTTGTTACAGTGGAAAGTTCAGTAATTCATGATTGAAACAATTAGGATACTTTCTTAACAGTTTTAATTCTTGTCTAGTTTAGTTTTATTGCTTAACACAGTATAATTATGCGTGTCTGTTGAACTTAGTTTTGTTTTACATTCAATAGGTACGTCAGTATAGAAACATGATTTTCCACTCAAGCAGCATGGAATTAGAAGAAAGTGAGGCTAATACTTACTTAGATGACATGATTGCAGTTCTACAAGATAGTAAGGAACTTGTACATCAACCAGCTGCACAACAAGCTGTACTGAAACTTCAAGATGTAAGAGTATATACATTTGTAATAAACTTATGATATCAGTTTGAAATCTTTAAAGAGTTCAGTGATAATTATTTCTATTAAGAACATCTTTAAATTCAAGATAAATTTTGGGGTAAAAATTCTCAAAATGGTTTCATTTTTTTCAAAGTTGAATAAAAATTTCCTAAAATTCATTTACATTGATAAAAAAGTATGGCAATCAGATGACTTTACCACAGACCTATTTTAGAAATCCTCAGAAAATGTATAAGTTAAAAAATGATCAATTGAGATCATTTTAAATTAATGTTTTGACCATATATATAATTTGTTGTATAGAATAGTAAGTATTATAAATCACATAGCTACTTTTTTATGAAAGAAAATATAAAAGAATTGTTATGTTTTCATTAGCTTAAGAAGAAAGACTTCATTATAACTACTGTAGACTTTGATGAAATTCTGGGACAAATCAATGAAGAAATGAAAAAAGTTCTAAAATCAATTGAAGATGCTCCAACTAATGAGGAATATGAGGAGCTTAAAAAACAATCTGAAGAACATGAAACCCAGATATTCAAACTAAATGAGGTAAACGTAACATTTCTAGTGTTTATTTCCAGTTATATACTGGTGCATGCCTTGCATACAACATGGTTTTTAGAGAACTTAGTATGTTTGTTTCCGGTAAAAATATTTGTACTTCTATTCCACACAACCATGGTTTTAAGAGAACTGTTTATTTCTGGTTGATACTTGTACATGTATTCCACAAAGCCATGGTTTTAAGAGAACTGTTTGTTTCTTGTTTATACAGGTACATGTCTTCCATAAACCATGGTTTTAAGAGAACTGTTTGTTTCTGGTTGATACTGGTACATGTCTCACTTACAAACTTGCTTGCATGATTTCAGTCGGCCATATTCCCTAGCTATGAAAGGTAACTCCCTGTTTTCCCTGTCTAAAATCCAACCAAATTATTCCCCTTTCAAATGAACTTAAAGAAGGGACCTTTTAAAAAGACTTTGTATTTATTTATTCGATTTTTTGTTCAGAAACGGACAATTTTTTCTTTACCTTTGTTTAATTTGCTTTCTATCTATATATGGTTCCTATGGTAAACATATGAGTTTTGATGGTAAACAAATGAATTTTCTGAACCGAAAGTAATCTTACACACAGCGTTGCTGTCATCACATGTAAACAATACATTAAATCGGTAAGAATATTGAGATATTTGTTTGACTATCAGTTATTAATATAGAAAACAACTATGTGTAGTTTTTGTGTATTGTTTTAATGTGTTTGTCTGATATTTTAGTTGTAAAAGCCATGTACGCTTAGTGTCGCTTCATAGCAACCGAGTTTAAAACGTGAGCGGTAACTGAACGAGATATGGCAAAGCGCATGCTCGCGCACTGACTTCCGCTCTATCGAAATACTGCATATACGTATAGCGAAAGTTCGTAAGTGTGTCTTCCATAAACCATGGTTTTATGAGAACTGTTTGTTTCTGGTTGATACTGGTACATGTATTCCACACAGCCATGGTTTTAAGAGAACTGTTTGTTTCTCGTTGATACAGGTTTATGTATTCCACACAACCATGGCATTAAGAGAACTGTTTGTTTCTGGTTGATACTAGTACATGTATTTCACAAACCATGGTTTTAAGAGAACTGTTTGTTTCTGGTTGATACTGGTACATGTATTCCACACAACCATGGTTTTAAGAGAACAAATGTTTGTTTCTGGTTGATACTCGTACATGTATTCCACACATCCATGGTTTTAAGAGAACTGTTTGTTTCTGGTTGATACTTGTATGTGTTTTCCACACAACCATGGTTTTAAGAGAACTGTTTGTTTCTGGTTGATACTTGTCTGTGTTTTCCACACAACCATGGTTTTAAAAGAACTGTTTGTTTCTGGTTGATACAGGTATATGTATTCCACAAGAGAACTTGATATGTTTTTGTCCTGGTAATATATTTGTACATGTTTTAAATACAACATGGTTTTAAGAGAGGACTGTTTGTTTCCAGTTAATATACTGGTACATGTTTTACATACAACCATGGTTTTAAGAGAACTTATGTTTGTATGGCAGACCAGTATTATTAGCTTGTCAATAAAGTTAGCAAGCTTTGTGAGTTCATGATGTCCATTGTCTGTTGTTACAAGGATTGATAAAAATTTAACTGTCCTTGGTGGAAAATTTATCACTTATTAAATACATTTACACAAAAAACACAGAAAATAAAATGGTATATAATTCAAGTACATGATAGAAAAAAAATCAACAAAAATAATTAATAGATAAATGTTATTCTGTTAAAAGCATGTAGAGCGATCCAACTTACGTTATATAACGTCACAAGTGTATTGTTATACCCCCGCACAACAAAGTTGTTAGGGGAGAATACTGGAATCTGCTTGTCCATCCGGTCTTCCGTCGGTTTTTCCTTGTCCACCCAATAACTTAACATACCTTTGACCCGCAGTCTTCATATTTGGCGTGGAGGTTATTCACGATGAGTAGATGACCCCAATTGATTTTGAGGTTGATGGGACAAAGGTCAAGGTCACAGGGGCCTTGAACGAAAAAACTTGTTCACCCAATAACTTAAGATTCCTTTGACCCACAGTCTTCATATTTGGCATGTAGTTTAGTCCTGATGAGAAATGACCCCTATTGATTTAAAAGTCACTGGGTCAAAGGTCAATGTCACAGGGGCCTTGAATGAAAAAAGCCTGTCCGCTCAATAACTTAAGATTCCTTTGACCCACAGTCTTCATATTTGGCATGTAGTTTAGTCCTGATGAGAGGTTGGTCATCATTATGAGATGACCCCTATTGTTTGTGGTCACTGAGTCAAAGGTCAAAGTCAGAAGGGCCTTGACTATACAAAATTGTGGCAAAACATCTTTAGAATCCTTTGACCCACAGTTGTTTATGACTATAAAGTGACCCCTATTAGTTTTGAAGTCACTAAGCTTTTAATTCTGAAAGCTTGTCCGTTGTCGGCTCAATTACTTAAGAATGCTTTGGTAAACAGTCTTCTTATTTGGTACTGAGGTTAGTTATGACTAGTAGATGACCCCATATTGATTTTTAGGTGTTTATGTCAAAGGTAAAGGTCACAGGGGCTTTAACTACAATAAGCCTGTCTGCTCAAATGCTTAAGAATGCCTGTCCACAGTGTATTGATTTTGACATTTCACATTTGAAGCATAATTATATTCTCATATATTCATCATAAAACACCCCCAGCAAAGCTGCATGAATTGGGAGGGTATTCAAGTCATGCAGTGGCAGTTACAGTTGAGTCAGTAAGTCAAAGGTAAAGGTCACTTTGATCTTTGCCACTAAAAACATGTAGTATACATATCTTAGTTATGCACTGGCTTACTACCAACAGATTTGGCAGGAAGGTTGTCCTTGAGCTCTAAATGACTACTGTTTATTCTAACAAAGTGGTATGCAGGGGTATTCACGACATGACAGTGGCAGTTCTGTTTTTTTGTTTGATTGGGTTTTACACCACACCGACATAGTATAAGTCATATGGCCACACTCCAGCTTTACTGGGGGAGGAATACCTCAGGTGCCCTTCCGTGCATTATTTCAGGCACAAACGGGCAGTGACCTGATTAGAACCATGGTCGTTCTCTAAGCTAGCTGGATAGCTTCCCCACATGAAATAATTCAAAGTCCCTGTCAGGATTTGGACCATCAGCGGTGAGGGGCAAGTGGTTTAAAGTCAAAGACCCAGTTCTAAGTACATCTTAATAATATCTTGTTGATTAGTTTTGAACTAAAATGTATTTTTTGGAGTAAAGAAGATGATTTGTTTTTGCAGGAGATGGCAAAAATTAAGACAGTAACTTCCTCAGGTCAAAGTCAGGCAGAGTATGAGCAAACCAAGTTAGGTGAGTAAATATTTGTTTTGATGGTGTACATACAAGTGTATGATATTGCCATTAATATAAAAAAACAGCTGAAGATCATCGTTACTTTATTATTTAAGAAATTTATTTAATGGTTTAGTACTCCGGATCATTCAATATAATTAAATTTATAATATTATAAAATTTATGCAATTAACATTTTATTATACTCTACCACATAATGTTGTTAGTGCTGTACTGGAATTACTTTGCGGCATTATTAGATCAGTCATTCTGTCTATTTGTTTCCATCATGCCCACTCTAAAAATCCCTTTAAAGATTTTCTTTAAATGCTCACCTCAACCTGACAGGGTGTTCACTAGCCACGAAATTCTGAGGGTCATTTTAACTAAGTTTTACCGACTACAAGGCCAAATCCCCATGATTTTAACAAAATTTGACCCTGTAGTTAAAATCTTGATGGTCAAATCAAGCCTTTTGGAAATTTGAATGGTCAAAGAGTCATTTCAAGGGTCAAACGGACACCCTGGACCTGTCTACCTGCACAACCAATGCCACCAATGTGCTCTAGGTAAATATCACCCTTCGAGGACAAATGCCAAAAAATCATTTTGTTTTCTTTTCTCTATAAATTTAATAACTTCTGTGTGATTTTCCTGTGTGACGTCACATGCTTTAACAAGGCAATGTGAAAAACCAATGTCTGTGCTTGGTTTGCTAAAGGTCAAGGTCATCTATGAAGGTCAAAGGTCAAATATGAAATATTGTCCTCTTCCTTTTATGCATTCCATACCCTTTGAAGATTTTTCTTTCAAAATTGACTCATATGTGAATTTTAACAAGGCAATGTTTAGAACCGATGCCTCTGCAGTGCTGGCTCACAATTTCTTTGATTTATCAAAGGTCAAAAATCAAACAGACAATAATGTATTCGTTCTATAAACCGATAATTTTTCTTTAATTTGGCATAACTGTTTACTGCAACATGAAAAGCCATGCCACACGCTGTGTCAGTTGTAGGTTTCAAGGTAACCATTGAAGGTCAAATTATGTTCATACATCAAACATTTTGTCTCTTCTATAAATAACTACACTTTGTCAAGGATTTTCTTCAAACTTGACACGGATCACCGTGAATAAGGCAATGTGATGAACCAATGCCACTGCCTTTTACCAGCTCAAGGTAAAGGTCACTCTGGGTCTATTAATGTTTTTTCCCATTTTTAGAAATTCTTGTCAGAGAGAATCTTGTTATTGTTTAGATCATTTGTAGTTTTGCTGATTTTATTGGCTGCTCAATAAATTTCAGGTTGTCGTTACTCAATTTTGATAGAACATTCATCGCAGTGACCGTACTTAAAGTATCAGCAATACCTTTACAACCAGAATGAGGAAAATTATTAACTTCAGAGATGTTTTGATATAAGACCCACTATTAACAAACAAGATAGAAAAAGAACAGAGGGGAGTCTGAGGAAAAAGAAAAATAGAGTCCATGTCAGAGATTTTCACAAAGAACAGGGAACCACAGAAATTTTATTTATGTTGTTGGAGATGCAGGGTCTGGTAAGAGTAGTTTCTTTGTAAATATTTGATCAATGTTGGTGGTATGGCACCCCAGTGATGGACCCAATACAGATGATGAGTTTTGAAGGAGTCCAGGAAATGAAAAAATTTGATTTTATGTTTTATATTTCTCTTAGACATAACATAAAGATCCGAAGTATCCAAGAAAATGCTTGAAATGCGATATGAATAAGATAAAAAATTTAAGTAAAACTTCTGGAAAATGATTTTGAAAAAGATAATTATTTTGCTTGATGGTTTAGATGAATGCGTCTTTTGACAGTGAGACTAGAAATGAGTTCCAGGCAGGCCTTCCTGAACGTGACTTTACAAAAAAATACACAATTGTTACTACATCCACGGCCATGGAAATTTTTCACAGTTTGAAGTAAGTAATAAGAGATTCATCAATTTATTGAAATATTAAAAAAGGGTTTTGATAAAACACCATTTGAAAAAAAAAATGAATTAAGAAAACCAAATAAAAAACAGCAAATTGAACGAATTTCATTAGTCTAATGTATATTTGTGGAACAAAGCTTGGATTACCGGTCTTGTGGTTGGGCCTGAAACAGGGGGACCCAAATTAAATGTGCAACAATTTGGTTTTGGTCTATGGCGTGTGATGGTTTAAACTCGAAAAACCTAAGGTGGCTATTTATACTGGTAATGTTAGGAACTTTAAATTTCACCTGGAAATTTTTATCAAAAAAAAAAACCTTTTAGGGGGGGAAAAAATTTTTTATATACAGAATGTCTGGAAAGGGTTTCTCAGAATTGTTGAACTCCCTCAGTATTTAACAGATGTAGAGATATTGTAGATTAATAGTCATCTTATATATGGTGTGTACGCTTGGCTTATGAGAAATTGTTCAATTGTCCTAAGGATAAGTCCTTAACATTTGACAAAATCTGTGTTTTGATGATTTGAAAATATCACAAGATGTGCGGACAAACATGTCTGAAACTGGGGATTTTGACAGAAGATAAATGTCCTTCTTTTTCTGTATCCAAACCTAAAAGCTCATTGTTCTCTTCATTCAAACAAATCAATGCAAGAATTTCTGGCTGCAGTGATTATTGGTTATAAATTTAAATGCAAAAATGTGTTTATCAGAATAGCAACAGGGAAATGTTTCTGAATTAGTTCAAAATTTATTTTGTGAGGTTTTTCGGAATTGTTCAACAGTAAATGAACATATTAGAGCAATCAAATGTTATCATTATGCTATGGGGTCTAGAACCTAGATTAGCAACACATGTGTCAAAATACATATATGATTCTGTGTCGGAAGACTCTCGTGTTCAGGAATACAGGAGAACAATAAATAGTAGCATTTATATGGATCATAGTTGTCTTATTGATATTCAAAAGCTTATGTTTTGAGTTCAATGGAAGAATTCAATGCAACATGTAGTATAGGAAGTAATACTGTATTTTTTATATAGGAGATTTGGTCATTGATTATCGGGGTCAGTATTGTGATATTGTTTGTTCAGGTATTGACCAGCAACAAATTGTTCCTGACTCTGTTCTGTCTATTAAGGTAGGTGACATCAACACAAAAAATGTTAAATTTTCAAAATATTTACCAATGTTTCATCATCTTGAAAAAATTGAAATAACATATGACCGTATATCACAAAGGTTATCAAGTAAACAAAGTGATAGTACACATAGTACTGAACAGAGGATTGATGCGATTAACAATTGTGTTTCTGAGACAATTAAAGTAAATACTTTAACATTAAAATCTCTGTCTCTTGGTAGTGTCTCTTACTCTGACGAGTATTACCCAGTGTGTACAACAGTTGTTAGATACCTACCTAGTATGATCAATCTTGTAGCAATAAGTATGAGTGGTATAACAATGAGTCATGATGATACTACTACATTTTGTAATTTTCTTGAGAGAACCAGTCATCTTGAACAAATACATTTTGTTTAATGTTGAATGTGAGTGTGAGAACCAGCATGATGTGTAAATTTATCAAAACACATCAACAACTTCAGTAAACCTTTTTTTGTTTAATTACTGTTTTTAATGTGATAGATGCTGATACTTACAAACCTTGAAATATTTGTATTTGTTGAATTGAAAAATAGTAATTATGAGAAAATATTTGATATTATTAGAAAATCTAACAAATTAAAAGAACTTGTGTTGTATGGAGGGAACATGACAATAAATCTCAATTTTATTCATACCAAAATAACAAAGAGACTTGTTCACAGTAATACCATTGTTACACAATCTCAGTAAGTTGAGTTAGAGTATTGTAGGTTAAACTGACAATATAAGTACAGTCACCTTTTAGAGATGAAGAGGTTTAAGTACATTGAGCTTCAGTAATGTCATAATGAGTTTTGAAAAAACGATGGCAGAAGTTTGTTGATAGTCTTCCTGATTTTCCTAATACTGTAGATGTGAGTGTAGCTGAAATGTTATATAAAACAGAAAGATGGTGAGGAGTTTAATGTTGGTAGGTTAACATTTCGAGGAGGACTTGGAAGAGGGTTCAAGGGAAATGATGCTAAACAGTATGTAAAAGACCAGGATCAGTTATTTCATGTTAAACATGATGATGGTAATTGGTTTTACTTTTCAACAAAAAAAGTGATAAAGTATACAGGAAGTATTTAAACTAAAGTATTGCATGTTAAAAGAAATGATACTTTTTTCATTATTGACAAAAAAGAAATGATCTAAATTTTTAACATAGTGAGATAGAATACATGCAGTTAACATAGTGATTAATCTATATTATTTCATGATAAAAGACATAATTATTTAAATAAACATTATCAGCAAAAAAATTAATACGATAAGTTAAATAATGAATGTAGTGCAATATGATAAATAACAATCATCAAAAACAGTTCATTAAATATTAATTTCTGATCATTGTAGTAATATTGAAATTGAAGAAAGTAATATTCAAATGTGTAATTAGATAAATAAATGAAACAAATGCAGTGAAATATAAAGAAAATATAGGTGACCTTTTTTTTAAAGATCAGGGATAGTTTGTGAAAAGTATAATTTGAAAAAGTAATAGGTTCTTTGAATTATAAATAGATAAATAGATTAGCAAGAAGATAAATTAATGAATAAGTAAATATAATAAGTAATTTGAATGGAAAAAATTAATGTACAAGGTCATAAAAAGTAAAGATAAATATAACATTTAAATACCAGTTATATTATATAATATATGATAGGATAAGGGAATGGTATATATGAATACCGGTTATATGATATAAAAGACAAGGGAATGTTATATATAAATACATGTTATATGATATAAAGGACAAGGGAATGGTATATATGAATACCAGTTATATGATATAAAAGACAAGGGAATGTTATATATAAATACATGTTATATGATATAAAGGACAAGGGAATGGTATATATGAATACCAATTATATGACATTTAGGCCAATGGAATGGTATATATAAATACCAGTTATATGATATATATGACAAGGAAATGGTATATATCAATACCACTTATGTGATATATATATATAAGAAGGAAATGGTATATATTAATACCAGTTATATGATATAAAGGACAAGGGAATGGTATATATGAATACCAATTATATGACATGTAGGACAATGGAATGGTATATATAAATACTTAGTACCAGTTATATGATATGTATATAAAAATACCATATATGTATATTATATGTTAATTTGCAAAGGAAATGGTATATATCAATACCAGTTATAAGATGTAAATGAAAATTGAATGGTATAAATGAATACCAGTTAAATGTTATATAAAACAAAGGAATGTTATATGTAAATTCCTGTTATACAATATTTAGACAATGGAATTATTTATATCAACACCAGTTATATGATATATAGGACAATGGAATGGTATATATATAAATACCTGTTAGATGATATATAGGACAAGTAAATTGTTTCATTGAGATGAGGACCATTTACATGTTATATTTTAGAGATTCCTTCTTTGATTGTTTTATATTGTAAAGATTGTAAAAATTTACAAATTGTAATTATGGAAAACCATAAATGTGTACAAGTTAATACTGTTAGTCAGTATCATTCAAACAGTATCATTAAAGGGACTCCACTGAGGATAATATTTTCTTAATTTCTTGACATGATAGGACGGGAGTTATGTTGTTGAGGTTTCATACTATTTGAAGAAGATATATTATTTTTCATGTATA